TGTGGCTCTGCGCAGGGAGCACACCCCCCGCTTGCGGGACCAGGGAGACAGGGAGGCCTGGTGCTGGGTACCGGCTGGGCCCGCAGGTGCGTAGAAGGTGCAGGTGCGCGTGCGCACACGTTGCCCTGGTAACGGCTGCGTCCAACAGGCGCTGTGACTGGCGCTCGCTCTCCAGCTGGACGCCTCCTCGGGACCCCAGACTGAGAGCCGCGGCCTGAGGAGGAGGAGGCGAGGGTGGCCGCGGCGAGTGCGCTGGCCCTGTCTGTGGTTTAGTTAGAGGAAACTGGGTAGGATTCGAATCTGTACCACCAACTTGTTTTTATTTTTTAAATGTTTATATAATATTTTATTAACTTTAAAGAGGAAGGAAGAGGGAAAGGGGATGGAGCCCGCAACCCGGCCTGGACCGGGACTCGAACCGTGACCTCTCGGTTCACAGGTTGATGCTCAATCACTGAGCCGCGCCCACAGGCCATCAGCCGGCTTCCCTCTGGGCCTGAATGTCCATGGCCTTCCTGTGTGGGCGCGGTTTGCTCCCTTTTAAAGGAGAAATGGGGAGTTCCCGGGGGCATCTCTGGTTTATGTCGTAGACATGCAGGTCATCAGGTGTGTGGTGAGCTCTGCACAAGCATCTTAGTTCCGGGTGGACGACCTGCAGGACGGCTGTGGGTGCGAGGAAGGGCGGCATGTGCGCAGGTGCAGGCGGTCCCGCTGTTAAAACGCAATAGCAGCTGCCCTGGCCCGAGTGGCCAGTGGGTAGCGTGTCCACCTGCCCACTGAAGGGTCCTGAGTCCATCAAGGGCACGTATTCGGTTGCAGGCTCCTCCCCAGCCCGGGCCCTGGCTGGGGCGCATGCAGGAGGCAACCAATCGATGTTTCTCTCACATCCATATTTCTCTTTTCCTCTCTCCAAAATCAATGGAAAATACCCTTGGTGAGGGTTAACAAAAAATATATAAGTAAATAAATACATGGAAACATATTAACCAAAAAAAGCAATAGCACCTGCTACTGCCCCCCCCCCCTTCATTTTGATTCGGGTGGTGAATTTTGTTACTTATATTTAATTAAAATAACTTTTTAAATACACGCAGCGAGCACAAGTTGTTGTGTGGGCCAGTGTGCCAACACCTGGACTAGATTGTGTTCTACATGGATATCTGGCAAGAATTTCAAAACTGAAGTTATTAATTTTGTAGTTGAATGTATTGGAGTGACATTGGTTAATAAAACGATGCACGTTTCCAGTGTACAGCTCAACACATCTGCACGTTGCCCCGGGCGCAGGCCGCCCAAGCCAGGTCTCCTTCCACTGCCATCACCTGCCTCCCCTCTCCCTCTGGTGATGCCATACTGTTGTCTGTGTCTGTTTTTGTTTTGTTTTTTCTCAATCCCTTCACCTCCCTCACCAGCCCCTAATGTAGTTTCTCTCGGTGATAAAGCCAGCATCGTGTCCCACCTGCATGAATCCTGTCACCTTCTCAGCTCCTGGGGGAGAAGTGGGGGGTGTTACGTGTTGATCCCCTAAAACCTCAGGCAGAGCTTTCCTGTGTGGCTTGTCACTCGCCTCCTCCAGCTCCAGGGGGTCCCCATGCCAACACCCCACCTTCTGGTCCTCTCCCTGTCAGAACACGCTTAGACTATGCACTGGCAAGAAAAACCATCACCGCAAACTTGAACACGGAAACAGGAAGCTGTTAATTCACATTTATTAATGACAGCTGCACAAACCGGGAGACAGGAGCTGAAAAACAGACCGTCCGCACAGTTCCCACGAACTCCCGTTTCATCCCACAACACAGAGCACGAGGAAGGCCCGGCACAGACACGAGCCGGTACAAGGCCGCCCGGGCAGCAGCACACGCAGTGACGCGGGCTCCGCGCTCAGAGGCTGCCCGGCCACGCGCACGTCGTTACCACGATGGCCGGTTCCCGCACGGACAGCGCGTTCACAGCGAGGCCGGCTGAGCTGCTTGTGCTTCTGCCCTCACGGGGTCTCCCCACCAGGAGAGGTGGGCAGCGAAGGAGAACGAACACTCGCCACAAATTCGTAGTTAAAAGCCGCTCACAGGGGTGAGCATCAAGAAGCAGCTGAGCTCTCCAGGTGAGGACTCTGCATGGAGGTGCGGGGGGCGGGGGGGGGGCTC